AACTGAACTCTGATAGTCCATCTCTAAGATCAGTATGAACATGAGTCTTTTGCTGGCTTTTTTCACTTCCATCTCAGTGGCTCTCGGAGGGACCCTTCAGATCATTGACTATGAAGGCCAGTGCTTCATGTATTCCACGGAAAATTTCAACTGCACTGGTGTCTCAGAGCCATTTGCACCTCTTGAAGGCGCCTTCTGCTCCAGTAAGAAACCCACTGACGATGAAGAGCATTTCTAACAGCTTCAAGATCTGAGTACAAAACACTATGATACAAGATCCGAGTCCAACCCAGTTAAAGTCAATTTGTGTGGCTCTTACCAACATTCTGCGTGGGTTGAAGTGTATCAAAGTGGTCTGCTTTACTTTCACAACGACCAGGGAGACGAAGCGAGCTGCAGAATCCATAAATCTCTTCAAAAGGGCAGCTCCTGTACCGTCGGTGTCAGTATATGTACCTCGACTTCAAGCACAAGACCTCTGCCAACTTCATCTGACGCTACATCCGGCCATGTGTCAGTTGCGGCAGCGGCATCGACCGCTGCGACCTCTTCGGATTCGTCGATCTTCCCGAGCTCTACAATGGATTGTTAGATATGAAGGCAGTCAACGGTCATTGTTTGCCTACGCTTAAAGTTGTCATTTTCGGTCTCTTAAGTCTTAGTTCACTCGCTGTGTGAGGACGCAAGTGAGTGGTGGACTTTTGATTTTTGTTCCAAGCCTCCCCCTTCCTTAGTTTGGTAGCTCTACCATAAGTCAGTTGCTTCATGTTTCGCGAACATCAAAGTCTAATGCCATCTGCTTTTTCCACAATATTGGAGGCCAGTAACCGTACTGTATTTTTATTAGATACCTGCCATGATATCCCACCTTTCAAGTAATATCACTGTATTTGTCGACTCGTCACTCAGCCAGGAGGTGTATTATTTTTAGTTTCCCGCTTGGAGGTACAGTATGTGTGTGTAAAATCATTTCCCCTGGCCCCTCGTCGAAATTGAACTTGGATTGAGGTAAAAGTAAAATATTTTCGTAAGAATGAAAATATGCAGCTATGGAAGACCGCTGGCGTCGTCCAAAAATCCAAAGCCTGGTGTTCAACTCCGAGTCCCCGGATTGGGATCCACAGTCACGATAGTAAGTTTGACATGGGGAAACCGGTATTTGCTAGCGGTGGCGTGGCAATGTTTGCTTGTTAGGGCCAGCTCATAAACGCTAGGTAGGTCGTTAAGTGCGAGGTAACCACATATCTGCGCGACGATCTCTGGAGGAAGTGAAAGCAAGGAGGGCATGTTGAAAAAAACTCAACGTGTATGATAAAGAGGGACAGGCGACGTGATTGATATATCATTTACCTCGGTGAAAAAGAAAAGACAATCGCGTCCCAAGCGCTTGACCGTAGAGGTTAACGAAAGAAAGGAAGCCGGACTGCTCAGCTCAATTCATTTAACCTGCCCCTATGCAGTACACCAATGCGCAAGACCACATCCTTAGGAAACCGCTAGGGTCTATGTTACCATTGCAGCAAGTGATGTAGGTCTCGGAAACCATATACAGTCTCCAGAGGGTCAAGATAATTCCAGTCAATCTCCGGGCACGCGGGCCGTTGATGGTTTGGCGTATCGGGAATATCGGAATTTGCCCCGGCTACCCACTAGCGACCAAGTATCTTTCTCAGGGTACAACCAAACGATGGACAAACCCAAAGAATTCGCTTTTACTTCCTGCCGGTATGGCGTATCGGGTAGTGCGGATAGGAGCTTCTCAATGCCTTTAGCTATTTTCCACAAATTCTGAAATTGTTGTACGGAATATGGCCCTGCTGCGGCAGATCCCGACCGTTTCGATCACCGTCAGCGCCTAAAGATTGGCCAGGCCTCTCTAACTTTGGCCCCCACGCTGGAGCCATGGATCGTCGATCATACTACGAAGATTGGAAAGTAAAGAGCTACCTGCCCATTTCCCTTGACCAGCTCCCTATGCTCGTGGATAGTCTCTTTAAAATGCCTCCCGTTCTTGATTTTCCACCTAAATCTTTTGGGCAGTAGGAATAGGTAGTCACGTGGGCCAGATCGGCCGCATCTTACCAGTGAGTTAAACACGGCGGCTCTCTGGATCCCTACCTAGGAACCGATCACATCCTACTGGACTGCCAAGGTTGAGGGATTTACCGAGGGAGTTGCGAGGGGAAGTGGGCGACATGTCCAACAGTAGATCCAAATAGTTGGATAATATGGAAAAGCAGCACAGGGTAGATTCTACAGTCCTTCCACGACCAAGATTGCAGAAGTGGTCTTGGGACTCCGTCGAAGCGTCAAACCGATTTCGGAGCTGCGCGCCATGAAAGCAGCATAGCTGTGACCACGGATATTAGGCGGTCATGACAGGCCTTGGCGTGACCCTAAGCGCGCTTAAGAAGCGGAACGCGATACTCAAAGTATCACTACGAGGAAAGTAATATATAACCGGGGGTAGCCTGCATATCACATTCGGTTGCTACACCAACGATCTCATATCGTTTTCGTTCCACTAAGAGTGACGAGCCTTTCAATCACCTTTCGATCCTAAGGCCTTGCCGGTCAGCTAACGAAGATGTCCTGCAATTGGTGATAGCCATCTCCATATTTGCATTCTTCGTTACTGCCAGACGCTTGGTCATGCGAAGAAGGGGCGATGGTTGGACAGAATCTTATTAATCCTTGTAGTGAGCACGAAGTCGTTTCACAACGTACTCGTCCCCTCTGTGGTCGATCTGACCTCTCATAGTTTTCAACTAAAGCTTCAGCCGGTGAGCAGCTCGGACCAAGAAAAATAACCAATTGCGAATATCACTCGACTTTCATTCATGAAATGGTTACTGAATATCATCCTGCCCCTCCCTATCCGTATTGTCGACTTCATCGTAGTTTTGAGTACGAAGATGTCGAATTTCAGAGGTCAACTCATCGCAAATATTTTGGAGTCTTTCGTTCTCTTTCTCGAGCTTCTCGCAACGATCATCCAAAGTCGTAGCAAGAGACTCGTTCCTCTGAATCCAGTAGGGACACTGTGAGTGATCAGATTCCAGTTCATCGTAGTCTCTTTGAACTCTTGCCAATTGCCCCCGGGTTTCTGCGAGTTCGGATCTGAGCCTTTTATTTGAATCTGTAGTGGTGTCGATCAAATGGTCGCAAAGCTGGTGGTCCTCGATTGTTCCATCGGACTCCTAGCAGAGTTAGTTTGTCTTCTAGGAGGGAACTAAGGGTGAAGTGCCTGACTCACCGAAAGAATAGTATCGATTTCACGTTGAAGACGTCGTCTCTTAACTGGTCGACACAAATCAGTCAAATTTCGACTGGACTTGGTTGCATTTGGCATTATGGCAAGCCAGATAGAAGATGGAGAATGAGGCAAGAACACAAATAATTTGGCTTCCTCCCGACTCGTCCTTGTGGTTGCAATGGCAACGACCGGAGGGATGTCTTCGGAAGAACAAACTTTTCAAATATTGACTGACAGTCAAGTCGACGCGATTTAAAAGGAGCTTCTTGCTATGATTTTTTAGCCCCCAGCCCGGGCTGTTGATCCCAATATAACGTCACCTAAAAATCGGAGTTTTCAGTCTAGTGGATTACCTCAAATACACATTCATAGCCCCATAGCCCCACTATGATAACGCTAAGCTATATACGACTAGGCATTGTTTCCTTTTGGAGGCAACATAGATGTATGATTGGCCTCATTGTATTTTCAGACCTTGGCGATTTAGACCTGGCCCATTACTGGGTCTTTGAGAAAGAAAACAAGTGTGTCTAGGGTAATCTGTTTTCGAATACCTCTTTACGAGATCTGATTACCGAAAAACATGTGCCTTCGCTCGATGTGTCTTGACTAAGCCTGCGTAATACTGGTTTTGTCCTCCTCTTGATGATCTGAAGAAGCAAAGCTACAGTTTGTAAGCCACGGGATGGCCTGGAACACCCGGAAGGCTTCTCCCGAACCGAACTCGATCAATAGTGGAGCAGGGAAGCTAAGGGTGGAATAATTTCGGGGAAGTCGGAAGGTGGACCCTTGCTCTGCTAAAGCCGATATGGAAATAGTCAGATAAGCAGTGATCAGCCAAGTGCGAAATTCCAGGATAGGTCTGCGTGAACAACAATCCTCGCAGGGAGATGCTGCGTAACCAAGGACTCCAGAGCTTCCGTGACCACGGATGTCGCTGCCACGAGTCCAGCGATGTAAGACTTGCGCTCCCTCACAGCTAATGAGCCCTGTGTATGTAAAAATGTGCTCCCTCACAGCCAATGAGCCCTGTGACTGTAAAAATGCGCCCAGTCATGCAAGACTTGGCTCGCCAATGACTTGCTATGGCTCCATAGCAATGTGCAGGCACCTCTCCGTGGTGCTGGGGACCAGTATTCGAGTATTCAAGAGTATTCGAAGAAGCAAAGACCTGCCCAACATCTTCCTCATCTGTTTCGTATTCCGAAGGATCATTATTGGATAGATAGAATGAGCCCTAGATAGATTATCCCAAATTTAATGGCCAAAAATATAAATTACAACTGAAGTGTCCTTGATACCAAAGGACGTATCCCCAATTATTCTGCATTGGTAGTTTGCGGTCCGATAGTCCCTTCGCTGTAATGGAATTGGCACTCTCATTCTGGCGTAGAGCAAAAAGAGACGAGATTGTTGTACTGGGATGCTTGTTTTGATGGAATGTTTGTTGTGATGTTGGTGAGTGTTGGTGAGTGTTGGTGAGTGTTGGTGAGAGTTGGTGAGAGTTGGTGAGTGTTGGTGAGTGTTGGTGAGTGTTGGTGAGAGTTGGTGAGAGTTGGTGAGAGTTGGTGAGTGTTGGTGAGTGTTGGTGAGTGTTGGTGAGTGTTGGTGACTGTTGGTGTTGATGTGGTGAAATGTGTGTAGTGAAACATCACTGTTGTGGTGAATGGTCGAGCGGTGAAGGAAGCGGTGGTCAACGTCTCACAGAGGCAGCCCGGTTTATTGCATCAATTGCATTGTTTCGATTCCGCAAGGCATTTTTGACCCCTTATGGCCAGTCAGTGAAGTTGGCGTACAGCCTCCAACTCGATTGCGATGATCGAATTCAAACATGGTTCAACTATGGTCACGCAATACACTGTGCGCTCAACATCAGACCTACGAGGTGCAGAGCCATGTGATGAGGTCTCTCGAGAATACGAATCGCAGGCTCAATTCAACTATACGAACACGGCGCAGCTGCCTATATTCATACCACGGTTGATGATAGCGTCGCTCCAATCATGGCAGCAGCTGGCATGGGACATCTCGAAGTGGTCAAGTTTCTATACGAACATGGCGCAGCTGCCGATATTCACACCACGACCGATGATGGCGTCACTCCAATCATGGCAGCAGCTGGCATGGGACATCTAGAAGTGGTCCAGTTTCTATACGAACATGGAGCAGATTCCGATATTCATTACACGACAAATGATGGCAGGAGTCCATTGTATGCGGCTTCTAGTTCGGGCCATCTGCAAGTGGTCAAATATCTGTACAAGCACGGAGCAGCTGTCGACATGCACACCACCACAAAGTATGGCGCGACTCCAATCTTTGTAGCATCCGAGAAAGGCCATCTCGATGTGGTCAAGTTTCTATTCGAACATGGAGCAGATGCTGACATCCATACCACGACCAAGGATGGCTGGACTCCAATCTTTGTAGCATCAGGGAACGGCCATCTCGAAGTGGTTCAATTTCTGTACGAACACGGTGCAGATACGGACATTCATACCAGGACAAAGCATGGCTGGACTCCATTATATGCGGCCTCAACTTTTGGCCATCTTGAAGTCGTTAAGCTTCTATATGAACATGGAGCAGATGCCGACATTCACACTACCACAAAGGATGGTTGGACTCCATTGTGTGCGGCTTCATATTTGGGCCATCTCGAAATTGTCAAGTTTTTGTACCAGCATGGAGATGATATCGACATTCATACAATGGCAGAGGATGGCTGGATAGAAGTCATACAATATCTACTGGCCCGGGGGGCTGTGGCTGACACCGTGGACCGGTATGGTTCAACGCCAGTTTTTGCGGCTGTAAGAAACGGGCATCAGATGGCTGTTGCATATTTTCTTTGCTTTCAGGCCGCTTACGTTCATTTTGAAGACGGTTTTGGTCAGACCTTGCTCTGGTGGGCCAAAAAAAGTGGGAATACACAACTCCTCAAGGACGTCATACAATTTGCTCGAATGCGAGGCATCAAAATCTGCGACGATGATTTGATTTAGTTGTGGAGGCTAGCTCGATGGCGATAGGTGGGTCTAACAGGTGGTGCGATGTATGCACTAGATTCTTTCCTCCTGAGAGCGCCTACCTCCTGTGTTCTATCTGTCAGGGCGCTAATTTCGATATCTGCCTGGAGTGCTTTGAAATGGGCGCGCGGTGTCTGGATGGTTCCCACGAGTTGACCTTGCACGAAGCCACTGTTCTTTAGGGAAGGTCCTGGAGCCTAACAGTGCCAGGAAGCGGCCGGAACTGATCACGCTTAGCCTAGCCTTGCATTACTGGTTTGAAGAGGAAACTGCATGAATCTAAGGATTTGAGAATACTGCAGCTCGACCCTGCGTCGACAGATGACATGGTACTTGACGTTGTTCAATCAATCAATCAATCAATCAATCAAAGTTCTATTAACCTGTTGGAGCCTAACCAGTATCGTAATGGCTATGCAGGCGCTTCTATCCGGTTGAAGCAAGAACTCGTGTCCGTACGCCTGATCATGCTCCAGTACAAAAAGTGAGGCTGGTTCTCAAAAATTGGAAGCACCAGCCCATTACATGTAAGCGCCCGCATCTGTGAATGATATCGTCGTGCTTTAGCATTCGGCTTCTGGTCTATTGGCCCCACCAACGGCCCTGTATATGGCCCAATTATAGGAGGGTTCGTGTTCCAATATCTTGGCTGGAGGTGGACGAATTGGATTGTCCTCATCATTAGGGTTGTGGTCTTGGTCCTGATAGCCTCTGTCAAAGAAACATACGCCCCGGTGATCTTGAGGAGTCGCAGGGCGGCCTGCTTCGTCGATTTAGCACCGCTGCTGAGAAAATTGTTTCTCATTTAATTTATGGGAACATGGAGCATCCTGAGCCCTTCTTTTTAGAAATCGTGGATTCTAAAGAAATAATGGAGCATCCTAAGGGCTCGCCGGGCCTTCTGAGGATGCTGGATTAAGAAAAATATTGTTATTGATTTTAAGTTCTTCGATGGATGGTAGTCGCGCTGTTTTGGTGTTTCTGAATGTTTAAGACCAAACTTTCTGCTTCAGAATAGAGATGAAAACGGTTACACCAGCCAAGTTGCTTCATAAATTCGTGTCACGTTTAGCAGACCCAGCTCAGTATGATGCGGGGCTGTGGGAAGTCATGTAGCCAATGAGAGCCGAACATTCCGTTTGATGGGCAATTTGCCAATCGGATTACGGAATGTTCGCCGGAAGTGGGTCTCCTGGCAGTTCTCTTTGTTTGCTACTAAACAGAAAATCATGTAGCAAACAAAGAGAACTGCGAGCAAGGATATGAAAGGAAAATAAATAAACCTGGCTGAGTATCATGAATTCTGAATCCCTGGATCTCACTGATTCTCCCGAATTTCTCATTCTCGAAGCCCACTCTCGTATCCAAGCTTCTCTCTCCGCAAAGCGCCTGCCACTCATATAATCCCGCAATGTCGAAGAACAATCCTCTGCGCGAGCTCCTGCCTAGGGAAAAGGGATGGAGCATGCGGTATCTGGAAACGGACTTGTTGACAAAACATCGGCGAGTTTCTCTGGCCTGTACCGAGTGTCAGAAAAGAAAGTCTAAGGTTAGAAATGTCGTTTCTCCATTCGACGACGGAGCTAACCCGGTGCAGTGCTCTGGTACGAACCCTTGCACGACATGTATGACTGAAAGTCGCCAATGCTTGTATGATCCAGCCCGTGACCGGAGACGTAAAGCTCATACCGCCGAGCTGTTAAACTTCCGTGTCGCCCTTAGCCGAACGGCTGCCAAACTGCGTTCTGGAACGCCGGAGGAGATATCGTCGTTGATTCAAGAGATTCGAAACCTGCCGACAGATCAAGACGCCGTCAATTATCTTGTTCACGGATCTCCAGCGATCTGATATTTTCTTGGCATTCTCACTTCTTGGGAATCAAGACTTGTTCATAATCGAGGTGAACAATAGCCTGGGTACCGGTTCATGTAACCAGGTGCTTCTAGAGCTACATTATAAAGCAAGGATCAGACGTGCCGCAATTTGAAAAAGCGTTATTATATTTTGGTTTTAGTCATTCTTTTCTTATCGGCTTTGACTTTCTTCTTGGCTTTGGCTTTCTTCTCGGATTTGGCTTTCTTCTCGGATTTGGCTTTCTTCTCGGCTTTGGCTTTCTTCTCGGCTTTGGCTTTCTTCTCGGCTTTGGCTTTCTTCTCGGCTTTGGCTTTCTTCCCGGCTTTCACTTTCTTCTCGGCTTTGGCTATCTTTTCGGACGGTTTTGTCTTTGGCTTTTCCTGGATTCGCTTTCTTAGCTTTGTCTATTCCCTGAATTCCCCCAGTGGCCTTTCCATTATAGTTGAGCTGGAGAAGTATTAGGATAAGATGCTCAACCCCCATTTCGCAGACTGCTTCCGTTACAATCCGCATGCCGGGATGAAAGAAACGAAGCTTTCAGCAAAACAAGATGATGAGTTTTGAAGGAGGGTTGAAACAGTACAAAGGTAAAGCTGGATACCGTTCCCGTTCAAGATAGAGACATCCTGACAATTACAAGCAAGATGGTTTTGTCCTCTGGTTTCAAAGATAATGACTGAACTATCAGCAAACCCTTTGGGGCTTACCTTTTTGATAGGCGACCGTTTTGCTGTGATTGCAGAATGTGACGGGCCATCGTGCAAATCCATCATACTTTTAAGTTGTAGCTTTTCTTCACGTTGGCCTGTGGCCCGCCAATATCTAGGCCCGGTTTGCAACCCAAACCGCTTGATCCAGGTCGACTTGTTATCATCCGGCCATAACTGGTAAGAGAAATCCTTCGCTCTTTTCACCGTTGGATGGACCGCATCAATGTGGCACACGGAGTCGTCCCCGACAGCTCCCTTGATAATAGGTTGTTCTATTACTTGGTAATATGTAAATCCCGATGGATTAAAGCGGTCTGGGGGAGGAGGCGTCAAGACTGTAACACTTTCGCCTCTGGCAATTTGCCAAGCAAATATAGCCGAGGCACCATGTATATATTGACTCCACGCATGCGGAGCTTTTTTGGATTTGAGACAAAGCGGATGCTCTGGCATCATCAGCGGACCCATGGCTGTGGTCAGAGTCTGCATTTCATGCTCATCGGCCCAGTTTTGAGCATTTTCACGCAGCATACCGCTCCACAGTACCTGACGATTATCATGCCAATATTCAGATCGAAATTGTTGAATAATTCGGGTTGCTTCCTCGACGGTCAAGTAGTATCGAAAAACCTTTACAGCTGATGCTTGTGCTGAGCTCTCGTCGGAGAGCCACTTAGTTAGATCTCCTTCACTTTCCATCAGCTTTTGAAATTTGCGCTTAGTTCGCTGGTTAGAGGGAAAGCTTGTTTGGAATTCAGTCGTAAGTTATGCTTTTCGCCACTAGATTTGGGAGCGGCGAACAACATGACTCTTATTATAAAGCAAGCGGTGTAGGTGCATCGGGTTACTAAGCTTCAATGTCGGAAATTGCCACCGCCTACTAAGAAAGGGGCGAGTCGATTGTATGGCTGTTTCATCTAGTTTATGCGGTGAGGCACCTTGTGATAAGCCTTTACAATACATTTCGCAACTTCGAAACACGCTAGAACGAATATGGATTAATGCGCTTCGAAATAGTGTTCAAGAAAAGAGCGCAAAGTGGTGAATTTGCTTTCGATCCATCTTGTAGAATAGTTATACTGTGACCCAAATAATACTAGTGGTCGTGATTTTCGACGTGGTGGTAGATGAAGTGGCGGTAGATGAAGTTCTGGTAGATGGAGTGCTGGTAGATGAGTAGGAAGGCGAGTTCGTTTTATCCAATTTCTTAATTGCAATACACCGGCTGCCAGACTTTAATCCATCATTGAGTACACAGGACGCTTGATTCCAATTTTTATTGGAAAAAGTGACCAGTCCCGTGTGGTTCACCTGTATCCAAGCAGCAGGCGAACCGTCTTCTGTACCGCATAAGTCGACGTTGAGCACATTCAATTCACGACGGTTGCCATTCACGACCTCACTGAGTTGCGAACCCTTGGTCCGGGCTTTGTTCATATCGTCGCCAACTCCGCCTAATGAAAGCCTTCAATTCAGAAAAAACAAATTCCTCGATGGGATTCAAATCGGGTGAATAAGGTGGCAGGTAAACCAGTTTTACTCCTGCACTAGCACATATCTCTTTAATTCGCTCAGAATGATGAAAAGATGCATTATCCATGACTATAATGGACTTTGATTCAGGCCACTTTCCGCAATGTTTGACAAGCTGCTCAATGAAGTCCTCAAATTCAGCTGCATCAGTCGAGCCTTTGAATGCTCGAGAGAAAACAACACCATCTTGGGCATATGCAGGAAGAATTTGGCATTGCTGGTCGCGATGGAGTTTGGATACCTGCAAAGGTGTCGCGCCCACCGGAGACCAACCGGTCCGTCGAAACCCAATTCGTTTATCGCATCCGGACTCGTCCACATAGACTAAGTGATCGTATGGTTTGTTGCTCCCCCGTGAAATGAGTAACCTCCATCTCTCCCAGGATCTGGACTAAGAAATCCAGACCCATTGTCCGATGCACCAGGCATTCAGACTTTGGTGGAGTATCGATGTACCACACACATCAGCTCCACCCACCTGGATCACCAGCTGGGGTGGCTCCTGTATTGAAGCGATGTGGAAGTCCGAGGAGAAATCATTGTTGAGCGCAGCATGTGACCGTCCTGAGATGCATTGCAATGTAACTAGATCATAGCAAAACTCACTGACGACTGGTGGAGGTTCGTCGGGGTCTTTTTCAGTGGAGGGGAGCGAGGTGTTGTCGTTGTCATTATTGCCAGAATAATGCCGGTAGTGATTAGGCAGCGCACTACTGTACAAGATGGATCAGAAACATTTTCACCATATAAAGTACTACTGTACATGTAGCTAGTTGATGAATGGCGTGTTTGTCATTTTCGAATAGCAGATATAAGGGCCTTTGAAGATACGTATTCGTTACTGTAACCCACCGCTAGTTCCCAAATAACTAATCTCTTCCAACCTACCACACTCTCTAATTCATCACTCTCCCTCAATTCATCACTCTCAATTCATCACTCTCAATTCATCACTTTCAATTCATCACTCTCAATTCATCACTCTCAATTCATCACTCTCAATTCATCACTCTCAATTCATCACTCTCAATTCATCACTCTCAATTCATCACTCTCAATTCATCACTCTCAATTCATCACTCTCAATTCATCACTCTCAATTCATTAGTTACGTGCCCCAGTCATAATTGTTGGTACGTTCAATATCAATGGACCTGCGTAAGTGATCGAAATTTCCCTATCTCTTTGAACGTCTATACGACGAAGTCCCTTCAATTCATCAAATCGCTTGGGCAGGCCAAGACAATACAGCCATTTATTACTCACAACCATATGATTGAACAACCCATCTTCTCCACGAGCTTATAGCTATTCTAGAATGAATTGAAGCAAGATAGAAACTTCCGTGTATAGTACTATTACACGAGTTTTGAACAAATAGAATCCATAATAATCTAACGCGCAACCGAACATATGAAGAAATGGTTTATGACTGAAACATACGTGTTTCGAACATACCTTTATCGGGTTTAAATTTCCACGTTTGTCGCTTGCCGTAATTTACTATGGCTGTGTGGTCAAATATCTGCCCTCAGTACAATACCGTACATACCGTGTGACGGAATTTCACTCAAAAAAAAACAAAACATAGTACCGATCAAGGGGCCATCAGCCAAACATTCAATCTATTCAATCCAACGTCTAAGACATGCTCAAATCAGTATAGGATGACTATTTCGTGACTAGGCTTAGAGTATCAAATTTAGCAAATGCATCATGCCGTGGTGAGCTGGGGGGCCCTAGTGTGAGGCCATCATATCGACAATGATAGCGTTGTTTATCTTTGACAAAAGGGACAGTGAAGGGGGGGAGGTTGGAAATATTTTCATGCTGCGATACATAAGCATGCGATTATACAACTTGGTTGCTGAGAATCTCACACCCATAACTTCCGAAATGTCGCTGGAGTTTGTCTTGCCATGGATATGACCAGCTGTCTGGTTGATATACATGTAAGGCGGAAGGAAACTCGGAAAGAGGGTAAGGGTGTCTCATGTTCGCCAAAGGATGGGTATAGGGGATTCGCCCCCATGAAGGGCTTCATCGCGTTGCAGGCATTGGCAATCACCGGTCATTGCATTGATAGCATCAATAGGAAGCTGGTCTTCTTCCTTGGTATAGACTGGTTGGATCAACAAAGTAACTGTAAAAATGCTACAGATCTGTGTCTTCCTACATATTTTAGCAAAGCTTTGTATTGTTCTAATGATAACAGCAGTACATCGCTTTCCTACCATAATCATGTTGGGATACAGTGTTGAAGTCGCGCGATTGGTCTTCTTTTAAGCGATTTTAGAGGGCTAAAGTTTCATATGATTTTGTGAAGTTATTAGTATCTTGTATGGCAACTCTAGGAGAATTAAGAACGCCTTTGATTTTCAATTACTTGCCTGGCGCGGGTAACACGTCATCGGCTATCACCGAGCCCGGTGACCGTCACAGCGGCAAACATAGCGAAAGCAGGAACACCAGTCCCGCCTAGCATTACTCTGTACTGGGTACGAACCTCAACGAAAGTTGGTACGCACGTCGTCATCGACAGCAGCATCCTTCTAGTATTGAGACCTGGTTAATATCTATCCATCCATGCCCATGCGCATTTGCCTCTCCCTGCAACTACGCAACAATATCATTCCTATTACAAGCAAAAAATTACAGACTACGACAATGTCGTCCATCATCACTCCTCTCAGAGACCCGCTCGTCTTTCTGTCCCAGGTCATATGCTCCGTCTTCAACGACGTGTTTGCCATGACCTCCGGGCTCCCTATGGCAGCGGTCAACTTCTTCATTGGCACTCTCAAGATGGTGCTGCGCAGAGCGGGTAATACTTGGGAAGCTGCAGGAGGAATGAGCAAGTTAATGGCCAGTGAGTATTATCCGGCAGCTATTCATGGAAATGAAGACTAACAATTCGCGAGCATGCCATATCGTTGTCATTGTATTGATCGCCAGCGGTTCCTATGGCTATCTGCAGTATCGAAGTCGCCAAGGATGCCCCGTCAAGGTTGGAAATGGGCCTCGCCAAAACTCGCCCAAGACCCTAACTCCCCAAAAACCCGCCCATGGGACTGCCGTCTAAGACCTGTAGACGGCAGACCCGCCCCCACCCGCCAAAGGCCCAAACGTGTACCCGTTACAACCTGCAAAGCAAGATGTTAACCTGTTGTCTTACATTATATTATGCTTGTATTTGACGAATCTTCAATGTACAGTGACTGTTTATAAGTTTTAAACCCAGCCCCACACCCCTTTGGTTCTATAGTATTCTGCCAATCAAGGATCGTGTTTAATTCGGCATATTAAAAGTACGCCAGTCTATTTGTAATTCCCCCAACAAGGCTAGACATAATTTTCAGAAGGTGTAATAAAAGATACCAGAAACACGACGAACGCGAGATAAGATAAAAAAATCCCTTAGTAGGCGGTATAGGCATTTGAGAAAGGCGGTAAATATGTGGGGCTAAATAGGGTGTTAAAACTGATGAACTGTCAGTAGTTGGTCAGTTCAGGCCTGTCCTGGGCTTCTGTCTATTATGCTTGGTATGGCAACAACTCACGAAGAAAATGATGTCCCTGTGACCTGAAATGCACCGCACATTTCAAGGACTACTGAATGGTTACCTAAATTCTTGACGGTCACCCTTTCACTTGCTATGCGAAAGTAACAGGAGCTAAAGTGCTGAAACGAACGTTGCAAAAAGTATCTCCTGGTGGTTGTGTGCAAGCCTAAGTCCTAGGACGCTACTATGTACAACAAGTAGACCTCTTTGAAGTTTTACTGTGATGCGAGTGTGACGCTACTGTGACGCTATAGTGACTGTAGGTCACATGGGATGTGGAGCTGCAGGTAGTCCATGAGGTATTGCTATTTCTGAGAGTGAACGTCGAAACTGGTATGTCAATATACATGTCTAACTCTAGAGTGAGCCTGGAAAGCCGAAACTCCATGTCACACTGCTATGGTGACGTCCGTCCACTGCTCTGTGAAGAAACCCTTCGTGCAACGGACGTTCGGGCGTAACTCCTAGACTAGTTTATATGCCGCCCATGGGCAAAAAGAACCGTTGCGGACAGTGAAAATCATGACAAAGAATTAACTGGCTGGCCTGGCCAAATGATGGAGGCAGTGGGCTCGACAAGAACGATCCTAGAAGGCAGACTCAATATAAGGAACAGTGACGTTATCTACCTAGCCTCAAAACGTAACGATAGTAGCAAAGTCATGCATCCGAGGTGAGCTTGATACACAGTATGACCGGCCGCATTCTGGTTGGTTAAGAGGGTAACAGCTGAACGCCCGGTAGCTTCGGAACTGCAGCATACAAACAACATTACAAGCTACCGATCTTTGATATAACAGTGGCGATAAACAGCTTATGCAGTCAGTTCGTCACAGGTAATTCATTCAGCGGAGTAGCCCCATGGGTTGGTAACTTGAACTTCATCACAATAGATCCATCACTCGAACGCGAGTTCATAATGCTTGAACTACGGGTCCCCTCGGTTGGCTTCCAGATTTAATGGTCCGAAATCCATTTTACCTGGCACTAGATTTTGGCATCACCATTTCGTCATCTTCTAGGGTTACCTCTTTCCCCAGGACTACCAGCTTGTCAACCTCTATTTCACCACTACATCTTCTCACCTCTATCGATGTCTTGTAAATTAACACGAACATATGAACTCATAGCAACAAAATTCATACCGCCACCTGTAGCCCACCATGAAGTTCTCGCTGGCGACAGCGCTCCTTCTATTCTTCGCCCGGGCCGCGTCCCTAACCTTTCCCCTGACTAAGTTCACCGATCTAGTTGAACGAAGTGTGGACCCCAGAGATACGGTCGAAAAACTGAACTTTATGGATCTAGCGAAACGCCGTGGCGGGGGTGGCGGAGGCCGAGGCGGAAGTAGCAATGGAGGAGGCAGTGGAGGAGGCAGTGGAGGAGGTAGTGGCGGCCGCACTGGCTCGTCCAGCTCTGGCTCTTCTGGTTCAAGTAGCGGCTCTAGCGGCAGCAGTGGAAGCGGGCGCAGTGGCTCGTCGAGCAACGTCGGTGGCACCACCAGTTCCGGGTCTGGCGCTCGAGCATCCTACGGCGGAGGCAGCTACTATGCCGGCGGCTCGCGCACTCCCTATAAATCTGGCTCCCGGTCCGCTGGCGGCATCGCCCCCTATGTGCTGGGAGGAGCGGCCCTGGGCTTCTTCCCCGGTATCTGGTTGTACAACGCCTACGCCTACCCCTACAGCCACCCCTATCACTACTACAATCAGAATGCTCACTTGAACGAGTCACTGCCCATAATCTGCGTGTGCCAAGAATACTCAGAGTGTGGCTGCGACAACAACAACAGCAGCACCTACTACGAGTCCCTTTTCAGCGGCACCGTGCCCAAGAACTCCAGCGTAGTGCGCGTAGTGAAAGAGAACGGCACCAACACCATATACATCAATGGCACCTTGCCCAATGGCACTACAGCAGCCGATGGAAGCAAGATTTCGACATCCTCGGCGCCGGGGCCTCTTGCGACGGTATTCCACGCGAGCGGGTACTGGGTGACAATCGCTCTGGTGGTAACTGCCGTCTGGGGATTCTAAGAGACACCTTTGTTTTGCTGTCCGTTCTGGAGTGATCGGTATCATGGCTCAGTCTGGTTGTATTATGACAAACCCGGAAGTATGGAAGGAGACGATTAGGATCGATGTTAATTGCAACTTGATACCCGGTTAGGGACTTACCGGTTGTCTGTACAAGGGTACTAGCGTCTATATATTTACCAAAGCACTTTTTTTCTAACGATTGTGGCCTGACTTAGCAAAGATATCGAAATGAGCTGTTAAATTAGTGTTAGGCTGTAAACTAGCAACCGTAAGACCAGCGTCAGCAGAACAAAGCATTGTATGAGCAACGTTAGATAAGTCAGGCCAAGTCAAATCAAGATCAACATTCCAGTGGTTACTGGGTGAAGGAGGTTGTCCTCGTGGTGGTTATAGTAGCTCTGGTTATGGGGTGCCGCTCTTATGACGATTTGTTTTGCCAACCACTTTTTGACAGCTTCGATCGGCGTGTGCCTTGGTAATTAACCAACAATACCCATCCATCTTTTTTGGCAGTCTCAAACAAATGAACATCTACTACTATGAACAGACTTAGTGGTCATTGCGGTAAATCACATCCATGGACGAAGACTCTGCGATGCAAATGCAATTGGTAGGCATATAGTCTAACTATTGAAAGCTCTACCTCAAGTTTAGTTCCCGAGCTTCGCTCGCGAATGTTGTCAAGCCGTTCAATATCCCATCCAAACCCCCCTTCATTGGTGCAATAGGTAGTGGTTCCACAACAGCACAGCCTGTTCAGGGTAGCGTAAAACTGACGAAAAGCCTTGTAGTGTTGACCACAGCCCGCAACTGTCGTTCCAAAGGTACGGGAGGAGAAAATCTAAGGCAAGGCAGTTAATAAAGCACCCTCCCCCACCACGGAAATTGTAGTCATGTTCAATGTATTCTGGTACTCCTTGGTCAAGCAATGCGATGACTCGCCTGTTTTCTCAATACATTAGGGCAGGCCCTAGACGAGTTCCCTCAGAAAAGCAGTACACCACTTTTGGAATGTTGGGATACGCTATATAGATTCGTGATTGCGGACGGAAATCTGTGATCGGATGCGGAGTCTTCATATGTCGCCCGGAAGATCCAAGACCTGGCCTGAGCGCGACAACTTTAGGGGGTGGTATTGGTTGTTAGACGCTAATTCCGTGGATCCCTCAGCTGAAAGCTCCCAGAACGTTGATCCCAACGCTATTTAACCCGATACTGCTTTTTGATTGGTAAATGACAAGCTGCTATTTTTGCAGGGTCTTTGGCCTCTGAACTTCTTTTCGATTTTCTGTGTCCGGTCCATTGACGCGACCGGTATCAGTAGTTCGGGGATATTATTTTATTTTAAACGTAGTTTAGTGTTTCTTGGCATTAAGGTTCGGGAAACAATGAAAGAGTAGGCGGTGACATCGATTTTCCGGAACTATTGTAAGCTTTCGATCCTGTAAAAGTAAAAAAAGGGGAAGTCGTACAATCATCGTACCAGCCCACTCTTTAGTTGAGCAGATTGTGCACTGTCATCCGCGTATCGCGGGTGGGCTCGGGCTCGGGCTTTGACCACAGCTTGGGTGCGTCTGCCGGATGGGGCCATGAGGCCAGGGTAGGCTGGTGCTTCATCCACCACAGCTTCGAGGTAATCTCGCAGAGGGTCTCGAAAGAGCGAGCCGGATAGCTTGAGGGACCTTCCAACACCTGCGTGGATGTACTCGGGCGCGGGGTCTCGTACTGTGAGACCGCGGGTAGAGGAAGCATCTGCGGTGATGGGAGAGTGCGGGGTGGAGAGGGGCAGACGGAGTTGTAGTCAGAGACCAAGGAGGGTGGGTGGATAGAGTGGGCACTGGAGACCTCTGAGAAGGTCGGGGAAGTCGAGGATGTTTCGATAAAGGGGTTGATAGAAGGCAGAGTAAACATTGGAGAAGCTTGGTGGGTGGTAAATATCGATTCGCGGTGCGACTGGGAAAAGTCCTCGGGTTCGACAGGCAAGTCGGCCCAAAGCGGGGAGGGGCTCACGACGGAGTGGCGGGCATACGGTACCTCGATGCGGCGGCTGAAGGTGCGAGAGGCGGTTGGTGTCGAAAGACCGCGGCGTTTGCGGTTCATGCTGCCGTTCCACCAGTTCTTGACGGCGTTGTCGCTGCGGTTGCCCACACGACGGGCAATCTTCGCCCAGCGCTTGCCCATCTCATTAACCATGCTTTCGATCATCAGCCCCTCGTCGGAAGAGATAGATTCACGGTTGAGCGAAGGGTTAAGGCTCTGGTGGAAGCGTTCACGACATTGCTTGGGCGAGCGGTTGTGCATGTGCTGAGAGATGCGGGCCCAGCTTTTGGGGCCCTGTTCGCGAACCAGTTGCAAAAGCAACTGATCTTCTTCGGGGACCCAAGGTCCGCGACGGTGAGGTGGAGCCATGGAGGTGGAGGGAGGAGGTGAGTCGACGGGATTGGAGATTGAGGTTGAGGTTGTAGAGAGATGTAGAGACAAGATTAAAGCCACCTGCGATGATTGCATCTGAGACAGCGAGATGGATCCAAGAAAAATGCCCAAAGAATGACAGAAGAACCATATAATAAGGGGACTAATACAGACACCCCCCGGCAGGACCCTCAGGCGTCGACTTTTTTTCTGCCGGCAGTATTCCTGCCAGCATCATTCACTACAGCACCGTCCAAATACCATGGTTACCATCAATTTCGAGGTACTTCCATTTATTATGCAGCCATCTACTAAAATTAAGCCACTTTTATTCTCTCCCACCGACCAACGAACTTCAACCGGGGCAGTATGTACAGCTCTGGATGCCACGCCTGGGAGTAAGGTCCTGCTTGCAGCTTCCCGCATTCTACGTGGCTTCGGTGGGTACAGTGCAAAACACCCCAGGAGCATCGACAACTCATGTGTTACGCATAGTGGCCCGGCCTGGACTGGGCGTGACCGGAAGGATCGCACAAGCTGCGGATCGTGCACACTCGACGATTCATTTTCCGGTGTGCGTGCTGGGTCCCTACGGGCACCCACCTCACCTGGGCCAGTACGGGACCGTCGTCTTCGTACTTGAAGATATTGGACTCTTCCGTGCGTTGCCGTTCATACGACATCTCGTTCAAAAAAGCCGAAGCCGGAGGAACACGGTGCGACGGCTAGAGGTCCTGTGGCAAGTTAGGCTGAAAAATTTCAGTAGGTGTCCTTCCTCTTCTCAG